AATAAACACTGTTTTCTCTCATACGAGCACCTTCTCCATTCATTAAGTACAATTAACAACCATTAGGTTATGTTTTCATTACTGTTGGGATTGTTAGCCGATTGTGTTGAAATGTCGCTTGAATCCCATTGGAATTAGTGAGCAAATCACTTCTCGTCATTGTGAGCTTATGCTGCTTTCGCAGGGACGGTCGAATAATTTTATCGCAAACCTATCAGGGACAGTGACTTTGAGGCATGAAAGTAGTAATGTTTCTCGGAAGTTTTCATCCTTTGTCCGCCAAGGTTTTAGCCGTATAGAAAGGCAAAGTTAAAAAGTCTAATATCTTACAGGATACAGCAAAATACCTCTCAGCGATTCTTTCTCAATTTATGCCTTCATCTTTACCTGGCATTAGAAGTATAAAAGCGCTTATTATTTGCAATAGAGCATAAATTCTGCTATGTATACCTTGTCGAACAATTAGCATTTTCATTAGAATTTTTCAGCTGTCTTCTTTGCTGACCCTGCAACTCGCCTGGAGACCAATGGTGACGGCGAGCTGGTTCCCCAACGAAGAGAACGTTATGTATTTCGCCCAATTCTCATCAAGATACTCGAAGGCTTTTTTGCTCAATCGCCATTCCCGGACCTCAATAAAAGGGTGGAAATCGCTACTACCTGTAATCAAGTTCTGCAGATTGAAAAAAGAGGTATGCATTATAGTGCTTAGTCTTAATTAGGCAATGAAAACGCAAATATAACTGTTTGCTTATTACATCATGTGCGCAGCATAGCAAAAAGTGGCAGACATGAGCGGTCGATATGTAGAGGAGAGGGGTTCCTTATAGAAAAAATGATAGAAAGAGGTGTTTACTGTAATTAATTCAGGAGTTGGACTGATGCCAAAAGAGGTTGTTTCACCTCAAGTGGTGGCCAACTGGTTCGCGAACAAGCGAAAGGAATTGAGAAGACGTTCACAAGAAGCAAGCGAAGCTGCAGCTGCTGTCGCCACCGTAGCCAGTCAGGCGGCTACCGCAGCAAATGCAGCTAATGAGGAGGCAACGGTTAGGTTGCAAAAATATAATTTTACTGGTTAATCTAACTTTATGTTATTTAGAGTTCTGGTGTTGGCTCAACACCTTCTCCAATAATGGAGGAGAGTGAACCGATGGACCAACAAGAGACCGAAACTCGCCCATTGGATGTAGTAGCTCTGGCGGCTCGTTTGGGCATCACCTTTCCACAGCTACCAACTTCATCTGCAGAAACCACTACTGCATCCGATACGCCATTCTCCCAGGCGCTTCCCATAGCTACCTTAGCATCTCAGATACTGGCAGCTAGCCATAATTTAGCGTGCTATAGTAATGATTCGCAATCTCCATTAGGCATGGGTTCGCTGGCAAGTCAAATACTACCTGGTGCTAATTCTGCT